GACGCAGTGGCAGCCGAGGCGGGATTCGACCAGGAGTTCACCAACGCCCCTTGATCTGATGACCAACGCTCTAACCACTGCGCCAAAACCGCCCCATAATTTGATTTGTACTTCCCTTTTTAAAAGCATGTCTCCTGTGAGTCCCTCAACTTAATAAAAGTGCAATTCTTTATCACTGGAGTGTGCCTTTTAAAAACAAAAGCTCCAGTAGACAGAAACAATCTTCCACCAAAGAGAACCAGCTGGTACTGTGCTGTACCCTATCTACTCTCTTGTGAAAATAAATGTATTTTAGTAGTTAAACATGGCAGGATAAATTATCTTAGTCAGGCTGTCTCAAAGATAATGATAAGATGAGAAGCACTGAAACTGCAGGATTCAAAGTGGCCAGGGAACAGTCAGCTAACTTTCTCGCTGTTTCCTACCAAGTCCCCACTATCTCCCTTCAAATAACGAGGCGAAATGCCAAAATAATAAGTAGCCCTGCATTCAAATGTTTGTGCATGACTTGGATGGCATCCGATTCTGTAACTTGGAACAGATCGTGTTTTGCACAGCAGGAGAGAAATTTACGTGTTTCGTTAATTGCTATTAATTTATTCCCTCTGTTAGACAAATTCATCTCTATCTCCCCCCCGATCTTATGATCCCAGGACCAACGCACAAGCACAGATGCTGTTAATGAGCAAGTGTCCCTGAGCTATAGCGTTCGTTCAACCCAACCCACACACTTAGCCTGCTTCCACACAGCAACCAGCCTCAGACTCCGCAGTGTGAAGGAAAAGAAAATTCAACACCCTAAAGATGATCACAGATAGACTATTATTCATATGCTGATTTGTAAATGTGTATTCTGATCCTGTGCGAGCATGTTGGGGGAATTTCCTTGCAGATGTATGCAGTTTATGTTAGTGATTTGTGCTGTGCTTTGAAATGTAACAATCTGTTTGCAGTAAGCTCAAGAACTTCCACTCGGGATGAACTGAAGGAGTGTGCAATGATGTCCGTCTCAAATTATCATCTCAACACACACACACAAACACACACTGCTTCCAGCCCTAATGCATACACACAGATGGACAGACATAAACACGCAAACAGCAACCCTTCTGACCCTGCACCACACTCATCAGCCTCCACCCTGCTACTGCAGACAGGAAGGAGGCAGGAGGAGCCTGGAGGAGCTGGAGAATAGCAAAAGGCAGTGTGGAGAAGTAGTAGGCTACTACTCTCTGCTGTTCCTCATCTGGCTTGCCCGTGGACAAAGCCTATCCGTTAGAGTGCAGGTCACGCACATGCAGGAATACAGATGGGCTGCTGCTGAGTCTTTCTGCCCTGCCACTCAATGATTTAAGGAGTGAAATTAAACATTAGGAGCTGCCTGCACGTGTAAGAGCATAACAACGATGTGTACTGGTTTAGTTTTGTGAGGATGTAAATGTATTTATAGCAGGGTGTTTACTCTTTCAACGCAGTGCCATGTGTACTTTTGCATTTGTTTGCAGGACTGTGTGTTTTTTGCAAACACCTGAATGGATGTTTATATCCCTGCAAATGTGTACTTGTGTGTGAGTAAACAAGACACCGGCAAAAACATCCATTTAGGCTGCAGAGCACTGTGTGCTGTGGCAGCAGAGGTGCACAAACTGTTTGAATAAATCCTCTGTCGTAAATGCGGAATAATCCAAGACTAGTACACAAATCGGTGAGCGCCGGGTCCATCACCGCTCTGCAGGGTGGTCAAGTGCAAAGTTCTTCATTTAGTTGACGGTGCGATGCTCGGCCTTGGCTTGAGGTTCTTCTGCATTTTAAAGATAATACGCTCAGTTCAGCTTCACTGTTTACCTTCTGACTTAATCCGTTTTGACACTGGACAAGAAATTGAAGAGAGAGTTGGCGGGAAAGGAGATTTTCTTGGAAAACCAACCCAAAACAATAATTTGAGCACTGTTGGGTATTACCTATTTCTACTTTATACTTTACAAACTAAATGTAAAGGTAAATATCGAGACTCACATGTTTTATAGCTAATAAATATATTTTTTCATATAGTTATAAATCCCCAACCAAATTTTAATTTTTGCGGCTACAATATTAAAATACTGCTTACATGTTAATGCATCACTATGAACCAGCCAAGTTGATATCAATGTTTTAAGACAGTCATAATGAGAACATTCACTTTAAAACTTGATTTTTCTTATTGTGCAAGAACAAACCATGGGTCTATTCTACTTAAAATTTATGTCGTAAAAACGTAAAACACACCAGTTAATCACACTGTTTGCGACATATCCCTTGATTTAGTTGAATTAGGGCATTGTAGTTCACGTTTAGTCGTTTTGCCACACACCTTCTTACTGCCATCAATATTCAGAGCCCAGGATAATTAGCAAATGAATCAGCCGGCCCTTATACAAAAACTGTGAGTAGCTTTTGAAACCAGTGAGCTTTTGGCATATGCTGTGTTCAAGCCACATTGGAGTTATAAAAATATATAATAGGCTTTCTAATCGTAAATTGTCCTCATGCCAGCCAACTCAAGTTGTTGTTATAGCTTGGCATTTTTGTATCTAAAATATCTGATATCTGAATTAGAGCAATATAAAGGTGCCTGAAAACCAAGCAAACATGATCTCACTTCTGCTAAATTTCCACTAACAATCAAATGAAGTCAACATAGTGGATTCAGTGTTGAATGGTAAGTAAACATTATTTTTAACTCTCAAACAACCAACTCTCCACGCTGTTGTCCTGAAATTACCTGTGAGATAAACATCACCATTAGTTACCATGGGAACCTTTACCATCTTTCCCGTCCATCTGGCATGAAGTAAATGCAGCATTAGAGCAAAAGACAGGCTAAATAAGTCTGATACACTGTGGATTTAGGTCTTACTATGAGATTTACCATGAACGGTAAGGAATATAGCATTTAAAGAATTATTTATACATTGTTGCATGGCTCTTAGTTCTTTTCACAATGGTAACACATTGAAATAGTTATTGAAGTATCTACTTTTAAAAGCCTGCTATTCTCTGTGTTTGAATGCTCCAGTATTCCTTAAACTTTGGAATATACTCAATACCCTTGAATAGCTACATCTGTTAAACACACATTAGATATGCTGCAATATGAATACAACTTCTTAAGGAGCAAACATTTCAACCACTTCATCTAAAGCCCTCAGAGCCCTGCAGATTTTAGAGATGAACGCTTCTGCACTTCCCCGTCTGTTTCATGTGTTGGTACACATGCGGCACACTGTTTCCACCATGTGACAGCTTGATTTAAATGAACTGCATCTGGGTGTCAATGGCTAGCAACGTAACAATTGAGCCTCTTCATAAATGTTTCAGCACTCTTCGGGAGTGTGTGTGCATGTGAGACTGAGTGTGTGTGCGTGTAAGACTGAGTGTGTGTGCAATGTGCATGTGAGACTTAGTGTGTGCATGTGAGACTGCATCAGTGAGGCGAGGGCGGTAATCTCTCCAAAGACAGCATGGTTCTTACAGCTCGAGGGGAAATCAGTAGGCAACACCGCTGATGAGAAGATACTTGTGTGTGTTTGCTGGTACACAAAATGCATGCGTGTGTGCGCGTGTGTGCGTGCGTGTGTGTACACTTCACTTCAGGCACTGCGGTCAGAGTACTCACACCACCTAGTGGCTCTGAGGCCTTCTGCCTTCAGAGGAAACAGCAGGAAGATGAAAAGACAAAATGTACAACTGCAGACTAATTCAAAATTCCCATTTACAAGACAGAAAATCAAGTTAAAGAAGATCAGTTCTGCTGCAGAAAATGTTGCAATGAACAGCTCAGGAAAAAGAAAAACAGGTTATAAAAAGGTAACAGCATGAGCTCAGGGGGGAGGAGGGGGAAGGCTGAAGAGACAATTGAGTCGAGGCAGGGAAAAACACGTCCAGAGTGGAGGGAGATGAAAGGATGAATGCTGCGGAAGCTGCAAAATGCAGTTGTAGTTCTCCCCCTTAGCTATACGCAGCTTCACCGAGAGGCTTTTGATTGGCAGCTGGGAAACGTTAACCCCTTCTTCTGCATCCCTTTCGCCCCCTTTCTTCTCTCTGCCCTCCCTCGCATTCTCTCTCAGTGGAGGAAATCTTATCAATCTTGTAAACACATAGGAAGCAATGCGCTCTCCCCCCTCTTGTTTACCCTCATCCACCTCCTTGCTACTGATCATCACAGGAGAAACGCTCGCTCTGCCTTTGACTTCCCACAGCTGAAGGAGCGTCATGTATAATGTATAGCAGCAGATGAAAGGCAGAGGTGCCTGGCATCTACATAACGGCTCTTTGGTATTTAAATATGTGCCACCACCTTAGTCTAATCATATATTTGCACGTGGCGCGGCGAGACATAAAGACATGTTATGTGTGCACTGTTTACCAAATGTATAACCCTGTCTTGGCAAATCCTGACTTTTCTTATTTAAATCCCGCATTTGTCCCCGCTTGTTGTATCACGGTTGACACAGCTGTCGCTGCGTGGGATCAGTTTCCAGATAGTATTTCACTACAGTCCCCAGGCTCCCCGAGCTATTTGTAAGTTTGCCTCTCAGCGAGCAACGGCACCAAGAATCTTTTGTTTCCATTATGCAGCAGTCAGTCAAACTGAGGGTCTGCGTCCACAAACTGTCCCCGCTGAGGGCTGTTAAGTATACCGACCACGCTTTGGACTCTCACTTCATCCCAGCCAATTTGTCAGGGACGAGAAACAAACCGAGGTTACGCACGGACACACAGAGAGAGACACCCTTCACCACACACACTCTCTCACTTAAAGCGTTGAAGTAACAGCCGAGCTGGAATACAAATGTAAGCTTTCAGTGGCGGCCACATGCAATAATACCAAAAGGAAACTAAACACCGCTTCTGTTTGGTAAAGTGTTTCCCTCACAACAGTCGACAAATCGAGTCAGGAAATGAGATAATGCATTCCTGTTGTTAAACCGCTCAAGGAAGGAAACACAGGGAGTGTATTGAAAGTAGCAACTTTTTTTTCTTTTTCAGATACAATTATTTACATTGTAACCAAAGACAGTGTCCTTGAAACGAGTACAAACTTTTTTTTCTCCACTTCCTGCGATTTTTGTTTTTCCAAATGACAACCCAGAAATATTGTATAAAATAAAAATATCAGCTTCAGGGAAAAAGTAGTCTAAGCATTTTTAAATGTCCATTAACCGCTATGTACAGGAGTATTTACAATCTAAAATTCCATTCAGACCAGAATTTTGCAAAGTAATCAGACGCAGTAAACACAGTTGTTCACTGCCGCCTACAAACTAGATACAACTAATCTGCTTTTACAGGTATGGCTGTCATTCAAATCAGTGATCGTACATGTGAGCAGTACAAGACAGAGGCCTTTGAAGATTAATGTGTACAAATACAATGACACCAAAATAATAAATTAATGGGAGCTTAATGAATGTTGTGTAGACTAAAACATGAAGCTACATGTGGCTGGACATACAGAAATGTGGCGCCATCAGTAAATCCCCAATGCCAATTAACATGAGAGAAAAAAGTAACTGTTCCGCATATTCTTTGTCCAGCCACTGAGCTGTGTCATATGGGACATATCTTAATGAAACAGGATGGGAAACTTTAGACACAAATGGCATCTCACTAGGTAAAAACATTGCATTTACAAACAGGAGGAGAAAGCATTAAATTAAATACATTTAAAAAGAAAAAAATAACTTCATTTCAAATTTTAAAAAGAAGCACAACCATCACATGTTTGAGTAATTCATCACATCTGTTATACCTGTGAGCTTCAATGCATATTGTTATTACAAACTCTTGATTTTATTTGAATTTAAATAAGCAAAACAAAGTAAAATAGGACCAAATTAATGATTTGTAAGAATGAACATTTAAATTCATAATAGCGTGTAATTTCCAAGGGCCTTTATTTTTCAAATAAAGGACACCCTATCAAAGCCAGCATGTCGCGCAGTCCTTTAAAAGTCATTCATGAGTTGGGTGAGGAAAAAATGCCCTGAAGAACAACTTAAAAACAAGTCTAAAAACATATAAGATACGCGCATAACATTGCGCCTACGCAACTTGCTAACCCGCACCGTTTTACAAAATTAACGGGCACAATTAAAACATACAAATCAAAGATTTAAAAAAAACTCTGCTTCCCTTCAACATTCAAGCCAACTGCAAACATTAAGCTTAACGGGTGAAAGCGTCCAAAATCATTCCACACGAGTTTACATAGAGACGTCATTCTAACATCCATGAAAATTATTGTGTTTCATGCTTATCAATGATTTCATACTTGGCTTCGATGTGGATGAGATTAAAATGTAATGATCCATAACATTTCATTCAGAGGTTTACACTCGGGCTAAGTGACCGGGAATGAGACCAGGCTGCGGACCATCAGACCGTTAAACCTCTTAAAGATGTTTCAAGAACACGTCAGTGAGTCCCTTATCATATAAGATGATTCCACGGATTATTATGACACGTTAGCCTCTGCCTGATTCCCAGGAACCTGAGGATGAATCTCCTGACTAATCAAATGTGGAACTGAAGAAATGTGATGTCTGTCAGCTAGCAGGGCTTTGGTTCGGGCTGTGCTCCAGAGAAAGGGAAACTTTTTGTGAGTTCACGCCTTCATCGGTAGCAATTCAGAGTGAGCGCAGCATTTGTTGATCTGGTGAAGTCAAAGGAACGCTGCCGAGTCTTCGATGACCCCCACCACCCCCCCACCCCTGTGGCTCCAATCGGGGACGGGGCACCAGAAGAGCCCGGGGTCCCTTTAATGTGCAGAGTGTGAGGTCCTGGTCTGGCTGTCTGTTAACAGTGCTCCAGGTATTCGATGACCCGGGTGATGGACTTCTGTCCCGTGGTGCCCATCGCACACTGAGAGCAAACAGAATGAGAAAGACAGAGTTTGAGGAAACATACCACTGTACTTGTTCAGTCTTTAGAAACAGACGGCAAACATTTTGGAGGATGTTTGAGCTTCTGTTCATTAAAAGGGGATATTTATGAAACAGATGGTTCCAGTCTTCAGCTCTGACGGGATGAGCCACTTTCAAAGCTGCTGCAAAACGCACATCTGTCCAGTTTAATAATAAGGCTGGACTTATTTTTAAATTATCCTCCGTATCACTACTTGAATCAGGCTGCCTGGATACACAAGAATTAATTGATAACAATTTATTTGTCGTGTGTGATAATGACACATTACTTGCACAGAGGCTAAGTGCTTTGCAAGTGCTTTTAGACTGGCTAAGAAGCTAATGAGATCTTTTTGAAGACAATCACATGGTCCTTTTATATTTTATTGGTTTTTACAGCCATTATTTACAACTACATCTCAGGGTTAATGAAATAAACTGAATAGAAGCTTCCTTTAGTATTTTCTGAACCGAATAAAAGGCGCCAAAAAAATGAGATTGAGAATTGCAGTTGTGCGTCAAAAATGTTTACTTACTGTAATAGAGGGCACAAAGTGTGATTTTCCATCAATAAGTCCAATTAAAACTGCTTGTGTGACTTCAGTACAATTTGCCTGGAGCTTTGATTGCATTTACACTTTGAGATGAATACAGAAAATACTGATGTTGAGGAAAATGAATGCTAATTTTTTAGGAAGGAGAATGTATTCAACGTGTCCCTATAGCTCTATACCATAATTCAATTCTAACAAGTGCCAGTCATCGTAATGAGGAAAGCATTGGTGATGACAGAAGGTCAGTCTTTACAGTCATACTCACAGTGAGGTTCATGAAACTCAAGAACTTCTTCAGCATTTCTGTCATGATGGAGAAGTCCCCTTTAGGTAGATGCTGTCTCACAGTAGTCAAATTTATCTGAGAGGGGCAAAAAGGTGGGTGAGCAACGACATAAATATCTTTGAGAGGGGAAATCAATCTTAAATCATAAACTGTGTGTGTGTGTGTGTGTGTGTGTGTGTGTGTGTGTGTGTGTGTGTGTGTGTGTGTGTGTGTGTGTGTGTGTGTGTGTGTGTGTGTGTGTGTGTGTGTGTGTGTCTCTCACCTGGCTTCCCTGGCAGAGGCAGCCCAGCAGCAGGGCGGTGTAGGAGGCAACAATGCTGTCCTCCATATGTTTGCCTGAGTGCTGCAGAGCTACAGCAGACACAGTGGAGATAGAAAAAGATTCACATTTCATGGATACATACACTTCGTCTTTCTGAAGGTTTCAACCTATGATGGTAAGAACTGCTGAAAATAAATGTTGGCTGGAAACATTGCTGTGAGAGCAACTTTGCAGCGATAATTCACTTCCCAGCTCCTCAACAGGCTGCACTGTGACACGTTCGGGGATTAAAATAGTCAATAGGGCACTTTTTACTGTGCCGTTTGGCTCGATGGAACAGCAGAAAGAAAGCAGGTTTGCATTTCTCAACCTGTGAATCAACCATGTGAACAGCAAAGTACATGAGCTGCTTTAAAGACACACTGGGTCAGTTGTGTTTGCACAATTTATTTAAAACATAGAGAAGCTACATGGTCAAATAAATAATGTGGGTGTAGAGTGGGTACTAGTGATTGTTTGTATTATAAATTACTTTCTCAATGCATTATTTGCTTTTTGCAATGTAAGAAAATGGTAGAAATGTTCGTTGAGAAACTCGGTAACTGAAATTCGCTTGAAAAATCACAATTGATTTAATGTTTGGCCCTTCAGTAAGTCATGTGCTAATTCAGGGGTGTCAAACTCAAATACACAGTGGGCCGAAATAAAAATGGGTACTAGTCGAGGGCCGGACTGGTTCAATGTTTATTGTAAAGCGTATTGAAATGAACTTATTGCACATATTAAACCTGGAACCAACAAAGCTTCAATTATTGCCGATAAAAACAACATTAAATAATCAGTTGCATTCATTTCTTATGGCTCTATCTGCAGCTTTTCCAGAGTCATTTCTTATGATTACATTTTTGTAACAACAGCTTCAACAAAACTATTTCCCTCAAAGAAAGAACCAAACATGCCCTGTTGTCTCAAGAAGGAAACATCCATGTAAACTCAGTGTGCTGCTCTGTGATGCTAGCTCAAGCCAGATACTTGGCATCTCATCTTGGGTGCAAGGTCATCAATGTTTGGGCTCAGGCTCTGAGCTGAGGAGACCCTCAGGATGGAGTGAAGGTGTGCGTGCAATATGCCGGCGGGCCAGATCTAATAGTAATTAGAAATTATCCTGCGGGCCGAAATTAAATCCACCAAGGGCCTGATTTGGCCCCCGGGCCTTGAGTTTGACACACGTGTACTAATCCCTTCAGACCCAGTGTGTGTGTATACATCCTGTATAAAGGCTTTGCAATCCTTTGTTGTACTGCCATTCGTGGACCTAAGACAATCTCTCACATGTAAGATTTCTCTTGCTTCAGCCTTAATTAGTTGAGAAGCAAGAAAGGTAATGAAGTTGCCGCTACACAGCAATCATTACTGCAACATTAACCACATTTCTATCTTGATTAAAACTCCAGCCAGAGCTCCTCTTACAGACACAACTTCAAACGTCTACCTTTATTCAGATCCAACTCTTCCTCTTCCTCCTCTTTCTTCTCGTCCTCATTCGTCTCCGTTTGGTTGTCGTTGGGTTCGGCTGCCACCCACTGTATCTCCCCCGACGTCTCCTTCCACTCTCCACTTTTGTCGAGTGCCGGCTTTGGCGCCTCGCTGATGAGGTCGTCCGTCTTGGCCTCAGCCAGGATGGCGGCGCGCTCCCTCTCAAGTAAGAACTAGGATTTAAAGAGAGATAAACAGATGTGAGTCCAAACACAAACTTTTTAATTGGAACAGCAGAGCTTTATTATTTCAGAGGGTATAAAGGGATAGCAGTTCATCGTGATAGCAAAGGTACTGCTTTGTGGCCGGTCAAAAAGCAACTGCCAAAAGTCAGTTGACAGTAAAAGCTCATTTTGAAGTTAATCACTACTTTACGCTCAGAGGTTCCTTTTAGGCTTTCAGAATGAAGCGCTAATGAGGAGAGCAAGTCAGGGGAAAGCTGTCAATATAAAAGCAACATGTTTAATAAAATGTCATTTATCTTGAAAATCCGAATCCACAAATGAGTATGCATCGATTTACACTTATCTTCAGGCTGTTAAAAATATGCAACATCGGACTTTTACTGAAAATACACTCAGGGGTTCAGCTGACGGTTGTGTGGTCGTGCACGTAGCACAGAGGGGATATTTGAAATGATACAGCAATATAGCCTCATCCATATTCATTATGCATGTATCAGAGTAATGCTTCCCCGTTCTCCCTGAGAAACACTGTCTCACCCGCTTATTCAATACAAGGTCTTCTTTCAACAGTAACAACATAGATTTGTTTTCTCACGGCTGTTCTTCACTAACAAGTTTCTGCTCACATTTTCACTTCAAAAGAAATGATGAAAAATATACCTGCAGCCAAGACTAAAAAGAACGCAGTTAAAATATTCATTGATAAGTCCTTTCACAAATCCTACCTGCACCAGGGCAGCCAGAGCACCGGAGGGCTTGGGCTTGACAGGATCGTCTCCCTGAGACTCAGCAGCGGCGGGCGGCGGTGCGTTCGCTGTCTCTGCTCCTGTCGGGTCAGCCGGCTGCAGCAGGCTGTCTTCCAGAAAGCTGTCGTCCATTAGGTACTCCATGTCCACCAGGCAGTGGCGGTTTCTGGAGCTGTACTCCACCAGGTTGATAAGTAGACCTAGACCCTGGTATACACACAACACAAAGAAACACATAAGACACATGTATACGTAGAGTGTCTGTTGAGCAATGAGGTGTTCTGGCCATTAGCGCATTACCAAAACTCGCACGTCGAACCGCTGCTCCTGGGGGATGAAGCGTGGAACTCGGAGGACGCAATTCAAAGCAGTTACGGTAAGCTGTTCCTGCTCACCAGTCTTAGTGCTGCCCCACTCTGCAGATTAAAATAACATCATTATTGACCTCTGCTAATACTAGTCAATACCCTGCTAAGCACCTGAGGGATAGGGTTTAAGTGGAAATGAGCACATACATCTGAATATAATCCATATTGAAAAACTATGTCATATCACACAATCAAACTTCGGTTTAATTCAATAAACTGTGCTTCATTGTTATGCACCACCTCAGCAACAATAAGCCATAGTGCTGACTCATTTCCCAGCTCTGAGTGGCTAAACATGCCAGATAGAACAAATTAGGAAGAAAGGCAAACAAATATGAGTTGGTAGTAAATCAGAATACCATTATCGTGGGTGAGGTTGAGCAACACTCCTATGACGGCCCGCATGCAGTCCTCCACGGCCTTGCCAACGTTACTGAAGCTGCAGTGGGGCAGCGCTGCCCCCGACAACGACAGAGAGCTGTTATTTAGCGACCTGCTGTATCGCTGAATCATATCTTCACAGTACCGCAAAGCTCTGGTGAAAGGGAGAAAAACATACTGGTGAGAAAAAAAGCTAGAAGGCAGTAAAATAGACACATTTTGAGGAATAACGAAAAATATTTAAAAACTGTTCCTCTGTGGACGGCACCATCCTGAATGCCATTTGGTGTCCTCTAATACAGGAATAGCAAACCAAGCTTTATCAGATCTAATCTGGCTCCGACGCTAACAGTTATGGTAATCGGCTAATTCTGTTATCGTCCATCACTTTAAAAGTCTGTGATTTACTAATTGTTCCTTTAGATCAAGATGTTTTTGAGTAACAGACCCAAACGGAAGACGACACGTCACCTGAGGACAGCGTTTAATGTGAAGGGTACACTAGTGGCACCAGAAGTACAAAGACAAAGTGAACGGTTGTTGTTTCAGTCCGGTTCTCAGAATGTGTGTGTGTCCAGTCAATAATAGCTCCGAGCTGCATCCTGTGCTCACCTGGCGGAGGAGACGATGAGTTGTGATTCTTTGTAGGCAATCAAGTACGCCTGGTTTTCTGGGTTCTGCACTGTCACCTGTTGGCAGAAGAAAGAAAGAGGAAATCAATGGAGGGGGAAGTACATTAAGGGGCAGAAAATGAGGAGAGACACTTTCTTTTGGCACAGATCAGTGACATTTTATGTGACATTGAAAAAAAACCATTCCGTCTTTCATAAAGGTAACAATAAAAGTTACCATCCACTCCGCAGGACTCAATTACTTTTGTCCTTTAGCATGACTTTTGCGCGACTTTGGGGGAAGAGGACGATCCCAACCTGACAGAGCAGTACTTACACTTTCAAGTACTCTCAGACAGCGCTCCGCTCCCCATAACGATACGACCAGGTTCTCCTTGTCGTCCTCTTGGCTCAGGTTCTGCACATACTCCTTAACTGTGGCACGCACAAAAACAGAACTATTAAGACACCCTGACAGGGACATGATACTCAGCAGGTCTGGTACTTGACATTGGGAAGGGAATCTTTTTGAAATGTTACAGAAGTATAGAGACTTCAAAGCTGCCCACACACCTACCTTTGTCTACAATATGGTCCAACCCTCCCAGAAGTCTCAGTTCTTCTTTGAACCAATCCCCCGCTCTCTTGGAGGTTAGAGAGAGCAGAGTTTCCATGGCGAGGTGGCCCGTCTACAACAGGAAAAAAACTACTTGTAAAATCTGCAAACCGTGCATTCACTTAATTGGCAGCTGGACAACTCTTTTGGAACTTGGGAGAGCTTAAATCTGACACTCACATTTTTGATAATATTATCGTGGAGTGCACACATTATAAGACCACACCCAACATTTAAGATGACTGATATGGATGTTAAAAAGGAAAAACATTGAATAATGTCATCACTTCAAGATATTGGGGGAATTAAAAACCACTTGTGTTTTTATTGAAACAACTCATTTGTGATTGCAGTTCCACAGAGTAATATTCATGGGATATTCACGTCCTTCTTTACATTAACTTCCATAATAAAACTGTTCAAAGGACAACTAGGAATAGCACATGTACAAGCATCCATTCTTTGCAAACAGGTGTTTAGTAGATTCAAAGGTGGGGTAGGTAATTCACTTCAGAAACACTTTGTTATATTCCAGTGTTTCCCCTACCATTGTCTTGGGGGGACGCTGCGCCCCGCCAACGGAGCCCTGCGCCCCCCCTGAAATTCAAGGTGTTTTAAAAAAAAATGTTTTTTTATCATTTGTTATTTAATTGTAATTTTTTGTTTTATATATATAGCACCAAATTGCAACTAATTCCTATCTACCGTCTTTTTTTAAATAAACTAAACGCTTTCATTTTAAGATGTGAGTTTATTGTTTTTGACCCTAAGAAACACAGATGCATTAATCAATAATAACAATAATCAACAGCTCCTCTCTCTGCTCCAGAGGATTTAAAAAAATATATATCCCAATGCCTTTAACTTTTCAAAATATAATTTCTGATAAATCCATTTAAGTATTTATGAAAAGTTGCTTGTTGAAGAGAGACCATTAAAAACGTGATAAGTGGTTTATGACTAAGTACATCCAGCAGTGAAGCTATATTTATGTTGTTGTTCAATGACAACCCACCGTGATGTTTTCCAAGTCGAGGTGCTTGTTATGCACGGTCTCACACAGCTTCCTGATCTTCTCCTTGACCTTTTCCACCTCTTTGGGAGTGAGCTGATCCTGGTGGGCCGAGTAGTCCTGGTCTATCTCCAGCAGCTTGATCATAAGCTCCAGACAGGCCCTGTCCAGATCCATGTTAAGACGATCCCGACTCAGAATGTACATCAGGGAAGCCGTGCACAGACCCAAGTTCTGATAGGAAGATAGAGAAATGCTATTTTTAAAAAAGTGTATGCTGTGTAGAGCAGATAGAGGTGAGACATGATTTTCAATGACAACCTGACGCTGGGAACATTCGAATACATCACCAATACATTCAATCATTTTGACCCTTTAACATTATAATTAGATTTGTATTAGAATGGTGAGGATTGAGTTTGATTGAGGTCCTTTCCAATTTCAAGGTTTTTTTGGTGTGTCTATTCAATGTTACGAATAAAACAGAAACCTTAATGTTAGTGAACAGGAGAAAGTGGCTGCAGTTTTACTTTTACAACTGTAAATGTATCCGTCTGTTTTAAACTCTCAAACCAGAACAGGCAGAAAGTTTTGGTCGAGTTTTGAAAAGTTTTAACTAGAGAAATAGAAACTGAACATAAGGAAAAACTCACACATTAAAGGCAATTAAACTGTACTGAATACCTGGATTTGAATATAACCATTTCATAATCAAGACATGAATAACTCCAGGCATGCAACCTTCAAACATCCTATTCATTAGCAAATATTGCAGAGGTGTTGAAAATGATATGAAAACAAACATCACACTCTCCAGATTAGATGGAACATTTTCTTCTGCTCTCTAACACACAGATCACACAGCCAATGCAAGCTAACTGGGCCAGATACAAATAAATAAAACTGACATGTCGACAGTAAAGACTACCATTGCAGGTCTGCATATCCTGTCAGAAAAATCCACATCATAAGGCAGTGATATATATCAGTGATGCAAACACAGGTATGGTGAAAAAAGAGAGAACTATTCGAAGCAGAAAGAAACAGCGTAATAAACCATCTGACAAAGGCAGTGGCGGCTGGTGGAAAATATTTTTGGTGGGGCTATGGAAAGGGTGACAAAACCATACTAGGGCATTTAAAATCAGGAGACTAAATACGAACAAAATCAGATTTACCCACGACTGTTTCCACTCGGACTTTAATACAGCTACACCATTGTTTGGTTTCCATGGTAGCGCGTCTCTTTAGCAGCGCGCGCAACTCAAAGTCTGAGAGGGTGAGGAAGATGAAAACTGAACAAGAATCGACAACTCGACCCTCTGATCACTCCTTTCCTGTAAAAATACAGGTCCAGCCCACACATATGCTCCATGGTGCTACAGGCATTGCCCTTACAACTACAATAAGCATGCAAATGTTAATCTACAGCTCCGGCGATCCACTAGCACCGGAGTCTACACCTGCAGACAACTACTGTAGCGTCACCTTGGATACGAGTCCGAACAACTCACAGACACACAGGCCAGGGCGCTGAAAGGGCGCCCTTTGAGCATCAGATCTGACGACGCTGATTGGCTGAAATTATGTTTCGGCGGCATAGTTTACAGATAGCAACAGTCAGCTTGTTGGCTGCTGCTGCTCTGGCTGAGGGCTCCTTTCTACCGCCCGGACGAGAGAGGGTAATGATACACGCTGCGGCCAGGCAGGANCCGGAGAAATTCACATCACAAGTCACACAGTCAAAGGTACTGACTGCACGAAAGGTCATTCAAGATGCGAGGCTGATCAGATTTGACATGGCAACCCACCCGTGCAGTCAGTACCTTTGACTGTGTGACTTGTGATGTGAATTTCTCCGGCCGATGCTTGTATTAAATATCAGTGTTTGACATCAGAACTCCTGCTCGTCCTGTGTCTCCTTCATGAGTCGGTGACCCCCACTGCATTGCTACACAGAAGTTTCCTCCACAACTTGGAAATATATAAAGAGAAACTCGGTTTCTATAATCAGGAAATAAAAAAGGCACGACAGTCTTTCTTTTCTGACATCATTACCAAAAATAAAAACAACTCACGTGCTTTGTTTGCTACCGTCAACAGACTAACTAACCCCCCAGTGTTGATAGCCTCAGAATTTCTATCCACCAGGGCCTGCAATGATTTTGCCTCCTTCTTCACTGACAAAATCATGTAAATTAGACAGGCAGTCAGTGTATCTGCATCAGTGTTAATTTTGGCAGCTGTTTTTGATTTAGTCTTAGTCTTTAGACGAAAATGGTTACTAGTTTTAGTCACATTTTAGTCATTCCTATTCTTCGTAGTTTTAGTCTAGTTTTAGTCGACGAAAACTCAAAACGTTTTAGTCAACCTTTAGTCGATGAAAAATTACATTTTAGTCAACTTTTAATCAAAATGTGTCTCTATACCAGTGGTTCTCAAACTTTTTCTGTCAGGCCCCCCCTTTGGAGAAAAAAAATGTCGGGCCCCCCCAACACAAGTCAGGCTCAGTGGCCAACACAAATAGTCGGGGTGCTGTGGGGTAGCTTGACATTTCATAGAGGGTGCTCAAACATTTAGGGTTTCCCATTATTGTACCGGTCGCTACAGTGGAATTTTCTACTGCAACAATCCCCACGCATATACACAGTGTGACAGTTACAATGAAGGCTCGAGGCATATAGGTGTAAGCAGGGGTAAAGTGCTAGGTGATGTGTGGACCTCACATAGGGGGGTCCGGGGGTATGCTCCCCCAAGAAGATTTATTTTTAAATATTGAAGTTAAATGCATCAATCTGGTGCACTTTGAGAGCAAAATGAAGAGATCTATGGATACATCTCTCAACACCCATTTGAAACAGAACTG